ACACGAGCATTAACCGGGATACGAAACGAGCCAAAGGCGAGTTTCGTATGGTTTATGCGAGTGTTTTAATAACCATTACATGAGAGTTGCATACGCTATTTTTTCTACACCCGATAAATAATCAAGACCTATAAATATTCTATTTATATTGGTATTGAACACAATAACAGTAATTACTCGTATTTCTATAAAAAATTCTACAAAATTGTAATTAATGGTATTACCTTGGGTACTGGTATTACCACAGATTTTTGGGGCAAAATATTTTGTACTGCATTTTCTCCTTTCTCCTATATGTGTGGAGGAGTGTTCTATATCGCTGATATCAGACATTTTAATATTATAATTATCGAAGTTTAGCTATCTACGAAAATTTAATACGTTTTGACAACTAAAACAATTACATAGGAATTTAGGACAAACGTCAAACATCATGCTTGATTGAAAAATTGTAGGTTTCTATTGATTAAAAATCTGTATCATAATGAAAAATCTGTATCATAATGGGTATCATTATGAAATGGATTATGGGCATATAAGTGCATTATTATAATACGGGTGTAGAAAAATATTATTTTGTGCTATTGTGGAATATTTTTCGGTTCCTTTGTCTCAATTTCGCGCGTTAAAGTTTAGAATATGCATCCCTCGTATCTACATGCAATTGTTAAAATTATGAATGAATGCTGATTTTGTTTGGTCTCGGAAGTAATTTTGTAGTATTTAGGCTCCACCCTTAAGTTGTAATTTTTATACCTACTAAACTACCGTTGCCCCGCAGGTCTTTTAGTTTGTAATGTAAATTTTCCTCTTAACAATGAAGTAATGTTACAGTTTTTTATTATCGAAAACGTCTCGTTACTTGTATTTATCTATGTAGGCTAGGTTAAAAAACGTCTCGTTACTTGTATTTATCCTTAGAGCATATAAGATTAGAGATATCATTCAATGTATTTTGTTATGTATAAGCGGGGTCATCACTTCTGGCGTGAGGGGAGAAGGGTAGGTACGCCATTCTCAATGGCGTACGGTTTGAAAGGGTTCGTATTTATGTTTACCATTTATACACTGTAATTTCACAATAACTAATAATTTAGATAATTGATTCGCATGATTAATAAACAAATTTATTAAACAATGTTCTTTTTCTATTTATGTTAAGCTTTCGTTATACATTGTATTGTATATATGTTTTACTGGAAATGACTATGTTGGTTTAGGATTGAAAACTTTCTTTATTGTAGATATAGGTTTTGAAACTGTATGCTTTCAAATGAATTCGTGATCCTGATCACATATTATTTTCGTTTAGTTCAAGTAGATCATTTAGAAACTGAAATATTTTTTATATAGAGTAAATAAAAGAAAAACGAAAACAAATAACAATAATGTATTTCTAGTAGTAATAATAACAATGTACATGTTTTATAATAAAACTATTAATCAATGTAATCAAAACAAGAGATAATATAAAATATAGTAGGTACCTAACTATTCGTAATAGACATATTTATTAACTTTACAAGCAGAACACAATAGCTTATTTTGCTTCAACTGACTGATTTTGTTGAAACTTGCTGCCTATATCAATATATCCAATATATTTTTGGCCAGTCCATTCCACCCTTTGCATAATTGCCATTTCATCCATGAAAAGATTTAAGGAAACCTTTTTTTATAACCTTTTTGACTTTCTCGCCTTTAAATTTCAATGCTCTTTAGTGAATCCAGGAGAACCATCAACAGCCTAATGTCACTTTGATAAAGTATTGGGATGTGGGAGACAATTGTAAAATTTTTCCCTCACATATGTATAAGCCTTCATACTGTAGAAGCTTAAAGTTGGTGCTAACGCTCTTAATTCAGGGGAGTATTTTCTTCTGGAATGATCTTTAATTGCTCTCTTGACCAATTCCTTAGATACACTTGTAAGAAAAGCCTAAAAAATAAACTAATTTGACTTAAAATAACATATATAAATAAAATGTTTCCTCATCATTAAAAACATTTATGAATATTACTGGAATTAATTCTTACATCCACAAGTATATCTGTACTTTTTATAAAAGAGTTATTTTTTTTTATCCTATCATACTATTTAAAGATTCCAATCTACTTTGTAAAAAATATTTCCCCTAAGTTTTTCAATTATATTTTTTTTTTGTATAGAATCTTCTTTTAGACAAGAGCTAATTTTCTATAAAAAATAACTGTTTAATTTTTTTTTTTAAGCATTGCTTTCCTGAAATCATAATGCTTGATTATATGAGAAAATATCTTATTTGACTTCAACAAACCTTCGTTTTTCTTTTTTAAGTTCTCTTTCCCTTTTAGAAGGGAGCTTACAGATATTGTGGTTTTAAGTGATGAGTTTATCAAATTTTAAACAATTTTTTGTCTTTTGAAGAGAGTTAAAGTTCCCTGTCTTGCATATTTTCGTCCCTACAAATGAAATGTACATGTAATGTATTGTGATGTTTGTTTATTTTCAAACAACAGTTTATTTATTAATAATTTATTTAAACACTTATTTATTTTAAACAATACTATTTTAATTTATATATACTTCGAATGTCTTTAAACTGATCACTATTTATATTCACCACTGTCTATCTACTAATTACTATTTATCTGCACTGTCCATATAACAACTTGATTGCACCGAGTTCTTCCGCCAATTTATATACAAATTTAAAAAATGGTGGAAGCTCCAGAACGTTCTAGTAAGTTCACATATTCTCTCCAATACACTAGAAACATTATCTCGTCCTTTCTCGAACATCATCGAAAACACGTCCACCATAGTCGTCCCATAGGTTTGGTCTTAAGGGGTTCAATTATGTATAATAAGCGGACAAGTTGAGCCTCAAATGCCAAATAATACAGAGAGGGACTTGGAGTATTAGAGCATGACTGAATAATGAAATGGCTCACATTACAGTATTCTGCAGATTTTTAATGATATACCTTTAATTAAATTTCAAAAGTTCTAAAGGCTATTATTACCAGCACATGTTTGGCTTTTAAAAATATAAGAGCTAATCATACCTTTTCATTAGCCTTTCTTTTCTAACTTCGAAATTTTCAATATTGGGAACTGCAGATAAGGGCATATTTTCTTTACTGTTGTTATTTTTATGCCTGTAAACAATAATGTAATAATAAGAATAATAATAATATATATGTCTAGTATTTAACAAAATAAGCCACATATATGAATATCGAATTACAAGTATTTACAGTTTATTAGGAAAAAACTTATTTCCATAGCAAAGTACAGGTACATATTTTGGTATAGATCCTTTTATTAATCTATTGCTACCTTTATAATAATGTTCAGTTGAAAATGGTCTGAACACAGACATTTGTTGTTAGAAATGCTATTAATGCTCAAACTAAATTAGCGAGATTAGCGGGAAATCTGAAATAAGTAAAAAAAGATTTAAAATATTAATGGCAGTTGAATAAATATATACAATACAAAAATATATCTAATCCATTTTACATTATATACAAATAGACATAAATTAAGCATTATCACAAAGAAAACGACTATTTTCTGTCAAACGCAACGAGTTGCGATCATGCTCAAATGAAGAAAATTCTACAAACATGTTTTCTTATTCATTTGCCCATTTCCCATTTTAAGTTACGTTTATGGAATATAGAATACTTACTTGTGAAACGTCAACCAGGATCCTTTTAAGTATGTATTATTGCAAACTATACAAGCTTTCGGCATAATTAGCACTTATTTTATAATAAAATTACACTTAAAAAGTTTATCAAAGGGAAACCTCGTCCAAATTGTCTTTGGAAGCCACAAAAAATGATATTTTTAAAAACGAAAACAAGACGTCAAATGAAATGTCATTTATCACAAATACGCACGTTATTTAAATTCGCCAATCATAAATCGTCGTGTTCCTAACTCGCCAATCATAATGCGTCGTGTACCTAACACCGAAGGGGATACCCCCCTCAGTACATAACAAACCCATTTGAGTAACACCTCTACTATTATATGCTCTAAGTATTTATCTATGTGTGTCGGATTTTTATGCCACGTGACGTCATAGCATGTGACAAGGATAGAGCTAACATGCTCAGGAATATACCGGTATCTGTGTATCGTGAAGGAAAATAAACAACAGCCAGCGCTTAGCGTTAGCCTGAGATACAGAAATTATCACTAGTGATCGTTAGTGATCCGAAACGTATTGTTCGTGGTTAAGTACTTAGCATTGGATTTTGTTTTGCAAGAATTAAGACTTGCCCGTAATTAAAGTATTAATTATATTGTTGTACCTTGTATATTCGGTCTTACATTTATTTTCTCGATTTATTTGATACATTTATTACCGTTTAATTGAGATCTCTTTCCCACAATATGTACGGATTGACTATTTTGTTCAGGGTTACACAAGGGTGGGCTTTGGAATATTTATTTTATTAAGAAACAAAGGTTGATACACTTGTTAATTTCACTTGTTGGCTTATAATTGAACTGTGTATCAAACATCTTTTATCCCATTACAGCACCCGGAATTTATTTACTGCAGCAAGCAAGCATCGATTAAAACCTACTAGTTCCCGCGTTCTGGGATTTGAGTCAACTCTGACTCCTGAAATATTTTGTGGTGTTACATTGTTGAATAGTTGTGGATCAAACCACATTATCAAAATTGGCGCTCGAGTGTCTTCGAGTTTAAAACGTCATGAATAAGAAATCATTTTCTCTGTGGCGAGAAAATATTTTTCAATATTAAATAAAAGCAGTCTAATTGGATAAATTATTTGAATATAATTTAAAAAATCCAAATTAGGGATGGGGTTTTGAGGTGGTTTGTCAATGGATTGATTTGAACTCATCATATAAGAAATTTTTGCCTCAAAGTAAACCATAGCTTTTCAAAAGTTTAAAAAACCTTGGAAACCCTGATATCGTCGCATATTATTTGTTATATTAAAAAAATCACATTTACTCAAACGTTTTATAGCCGTTAGCGCTGGTATGGAAGTAAACGATGAAGGAGAAGCTCAAACACTTCAAGAGCAATTTATGCAGGCCAAAGAGGAAGCCTTGAGGGCTGTCACTGAAAGCAAACAAGCGTCTATGCAACTAACATCGTGTCAAAGCCAATTGGCCCAAAAACAGAAAGAAACCGGCTCAAATTCTGCTGATTATGAAAGAGACAGGGTAGCTTTAGATAAAAAAGAAAAGGAAGTTAAGGATTTAGAGGTAAAGTATATTTTTGTATGCACATTGATTTAAATGAAACTTTTTAGTTTTATCAATAATAGGAATGTGCTCATGCTTTGACTTATTTCAGACTAATATCGGCAAACTAAACTATTCTGAAGAACGAATGGGCGACTTACAAGCGCAAAGAAGAGCTTTGACCCAAGAAATTCGTGTGCTTAGAGAAAAAATTGACAATTTTTATATGCATAGACCTCAAACTAAATTTTCCTATTCTAATCCAGAATCAAATTTTAATAAGAGATCGGTCAAAGGAGTGGTTTGTAAGCTAATAAAGTGCCAGGATACCAGTACTTGCATGGCTTTGGAGATAGCGGCAGGAGGAAAGGTAAATTTTTGTGTAGAATTTTATTTTTTTTTTTCGGTGCAGTCTCTCTTCTGTCAGTCTTAGAGACTTATACGTAAGCGGGTTACATAAAAAGAAGCAAATGAAAAAAATATATAGTCCTTTAGTCATCGGAGAACATTTTGTGCATTTGGTAAATTAAGGTAGTTCACTCGTAAAACGGCCTTTTTTAAGAATTCAATAAAATTGAAATATGAGGTCAATGAAAGTGTCTTTTATGTACCTAAAAAAAATAAAAATTTTTGACCGTCTGTAAAACGAGATATTAACAATCAAAATGTGCATAATTAACACTCTTGAAGCCCTGTCATGCTGTCATGTACACAATCATTGCATTTATTTCAAGATATCTCGAAAACGGTTCTTACCATATTTTTTAAAAACTAATGTAATGTAAATCAAGAAGTTATAAAATTTCCTAAAAAAACGCTAAATTTTTTTACCGTTTTGATAAAGAAATATAGATTTTTAAAATAAAAATGTTCTTAAAGCAGTCGACGCATAGTGGCGTATTGTGATTACAACTTGGCAACGTTGTAATCGATACACTCAACGCCCGCTAATTCAAATGTCTGTTAGATCAGTGCTTCTCAACCTTTTTACTTTCCTATCTGTATACAGATATAAGGAAAGTATAGGAATCATGATTTTTTTCGACCTCGAGTTTTCGACGGATTTTTACGTTTTGAGGTCCCCTGAATCCGTTTTGACTATTTTCGCGATGATATGTGTGTGTGTGTGTGTGTGTGTGTGTGTGTATGTGTATGTGTATGTGTATGTGTATGTGTATGTGTATGTGTATGTGTATGTGTATGTGTATGTGTATGTGTATGTGTATGTGTATGTGTATGTGTATGTGTATGTGTATGTGTATGTGTATGTGTATGTGTATGTGTATGTGTATGTGTATGTGTATGTGTATGTGTATGTGTATGTGTATGTGTATGTGTATGTGTATGTGTATGTGTATGTGTATGTGTATGTGTATGTGTATGTGTATGTGTATGTGTATGTGTATGTGTATGTGTATGTGTATGTGTATGTGTATGTGTATGTGTATGTGTATGTGTATGTGTATGTGTATGTGTATGTGTATGTGTATGTGTATGTGTATGTGTATGTGTATGTGTATGTGTATGTGTATGTGTATGTGTATGTGTATGTGTATGTGTCTGTGTCTGTGTCTGTGTGTCGCATAACTCATGAACCGATACACAGAAAAACACCAAATTTTAAACTTAAGCTTTGTTCCAGCGTCAATGTGCTGATTAGATTTTGGGCAGTGTCGGAACATCTGGGGGGGTACTTTATATGTTGTCATTTTTATATTTTATGGAATATATCTGTTATTTACGTTTGGGGAAGAAAATTCTTCAAACAAAAGTTACTTCTTATATTATTATCTATAATTTTTGTTCTATACAAAATTTTCCTAAAATGGTCCGTATTCGAGAAATTTGACAGAATGTAAAAAAATATTTTTTTATAAAAAATTTTCAAACAAAAGTTGTTTGTAATATAATTCTCTATAATTTTTATCCCATACATAATTTCTCTAAAATGGACCGTATTCGAGATATTTGAGAAAATGTGTAAATTTCGAATTTTGAAGAAAACTCAAAAACGGATAAAGAAAAAAACATTAAATTTTAAACTTAAGTTTTATTTTAGCCTAACGTGAAATGATTAGATTTTGGACAAAGTCGGAACATGTGGGGGGGGTACTTTATGGGGGGCCGTTTTTATATTTTATGGAATATATCTGTTATTTATGTTTGGAGAAAAAAATTGTTCAAATAAAAGTTATTTCTAATATTATTATCTATAATTTTTGCTTTATGTCAAAATTTCCTGAAATGGTCCGTATTCGAGAAATTTGACAAAATGTGCAAAATTCTGATTTTTATGAAAATTGTTGAAATAAAAGTTGTTTGCGATATCGATCTCTATAATTTTTGTTTATACATGATTTTTCTAAAATGGACCGTAATGGAAAAATTGTAGGAAAAGTGCTAAATTTAAATTTTTCAGTATTTTTATTTTCAATGAATATCTATAGAAAAATGTTTCGAGGTAGATGTATGTGGAAAATGAATATATTTATTTTATCCTCTGAACATTTATGGAGGTGCTGCAATAGGTTGTACAAAATAACCGGAAAAATCCTGTAATAACTAGATAGGAAAGTCATGTGTTGGACACATCAGATTTTTATTGCCGCGGACAGGTCAAGTTTATCACTTTATCGAGGCCTTCTGGGAAGGGACGTTGTTTATACTTAAGGTTGATATGATTTAACAATTTAAATTTAATTGTATTTAAACATGTCTTCAAAATTAAATAAATATGCAAAAGATAAATATAATTTTATTTAAACATGCCTTCAAAATAAAATACAGTTACAAAAAAAAAATGAATATAAAGTAATTTAAAATTTTAACTTACTAGTATGAGGACGTAATAAAAAAATATAATTAAAAGTAATGCTTTTCTGTAGTATTGATGATATCGTAGGAACGTTCATGACAGCAAGAAATTTATTTATAGCAGTTTGACCAAACACTGAATAGACAGCACCTTTAAATAAATAAAATTATATTAATTATAATAAAAAAATTATAAACATAACAAATACTTATGTATTTTTTTTTTAATTTATCTAGAACTGCTTTAGTGTTGACACCTGAATGCTTAACTTCACTTTTTGTTGCATGAACTTTGTTCGTAGGTACTATAGTTTCATTATTACATTTAACATTTAAAATTGAATAAAGGCCCTTTCGTGTTTCATTTGTAATATTTTCAAGAGAAAGAACTCTTTCACACCAGCAACATTTTAAATGTTTTCCCAACTCTAGTAATTCCACGATGCGACCATTCCACAGGTTATTTTTCAAGCTTGGGGTTTTCTTTCTTAATTTTTTTGCATTATTCATAGCCAAATTTTCCTTTATCTCGCAATTAATTGATCCTGACAATGAAACATTTTGATATTTACATTTATTTCACTTTAGGAATACATTTAACGTTTCACAATATATTTACGACGTTGCCGGATGGATTTTACGCGATATAATACCATATTTGTATATAGGATCACATGTGTTGTGTGTACAGTCTGTTACAAAAATAACCTTTCTTTAGATTTAAGAATCTCGAACGGTTGGTATTCACTATAGGGCGATATTTTTGTGTACGACTGTTGCGAGTGAACTACCTTAATTCTAAATATAACATGCTAATTAACCAGTGCTCCAATGATTTTGTTTTAGTTCAATTTAAATTTTAAATTTAGTCAACTCAATAATTAATGAAGCGAATTTAAATGTTTTTACACCATTCAATTGACAATTAAAAACCCTTTCAAACAATCTATCACTCGATCACCATTAAGTACTAAAATTTAATATCGTCTATATTTAGAAATCAATAAAGCGTATTTATAGTTTTTAGATACCGTAGCAAAATTATAAATAGTTTTCAAAAATATTTAATATCCTTAATTATTTATTGACACAAGTACTATAACATGCTTGTTTTACAACTACTCGTATAACCAAAATTTTAAACTATACATGTTTTTTAATACCTCTACAACATTTCTTATTAACGAGTTAGAAAGAAATAGTATTTATTTCAAATGAAAAATTCGCCTACATGTTTACATTTAAGTCATATCGTCTTCCATTTTTTAGCTTTTTAATGTCATAGTTGACACTGAGGCAACAGGAAAAAAACTATTGAAAAATGGAAACCTTCAACGTAGAATCACGTTTATTCCATTAAACAAAATCCAGGCTGGTAAAATTGATGATACCACTGTTGAGTTTGCCCAAAGATTGGTAAGCATCTAAGTGAAAATATATTCTTTTAGTTGAAGTTAAAATGTGAATAAAAACGTATCGTTTTGTATTATAACTTATTTGACTTTTGAGGCTCAACTTGTCCGATTATCATACATAATTAAGCCCCTTAAGACCAAACATATGTAACGACTATGGCGTGATAATGTTACTAGTTCTGGCGAAGAACATTCTAGAACCTTCACCATAATTTTAAGTGTATATATAAATATTGGTGGAGGAACATGGAGCAGTCAGTCGTATACAAACAGTTGTGAAGATAAATAATGAACAGTTTAAAGACATTCGAAATATATATATATATATATATATATATATAAATTAGAATAGTATTGTTTTAAAATAAATAAGTGTTCAAATAAATTTTTAACAAATAAACTGTTATTTAAAATGAACAAACGTAACAATACACTTTCAGGTTAGTGCTGAAAATTGCAAGGCAGCCTTATCGCTGATACAATACGACAGGGAACTACAAAGCGCCATGGAATTCGTCTTCGGTAACGTTTTTATTTGCAAGGATTTAAATGTGGCCCAAAAAATATCGTTTAATGACAGAATCAGAAAGAGATGCGTTACTTTGGACGGAGATGTCACCGATCCCTCTGGTACACTCAGTGGTGGTGCTCCTGTTAAAGGTGGCAGCATGTTTGTCCAACTTTGGGAAACTCAGAAAAATGAGGTAAGATATATTTGTCTATGTTCATAGAGAATAGTTTTACTATTTTATTTGAAATTTTTTATGAAATAAAATTTATTTAGGAATTATTGGCCACTAAAGAAAGAGAACTAGCACAAATCAATGGAGAAATTAATCAACTGAGTGGCATACAAGAAAATTACAATACAGTAAAACGACAGTTAGACCTAACTCGACACGAACTTAATTTAATAAAACAAAGATTACAACAAAGTACACATCACAGGCAACAGGAAGAAGTTAATAATTTGAAAATCCAAATTGGTGAGTTGTACATCTTTCTTACATTTTTTGTCTTTCAAAAAAAAAACCATACAGCTGCAGTAAAACTAAAAATGAACCGATTTTGATGTACATTTCTTTTAGACGAGCTTAAGAAAAAGGCGAAGACTTGCAAAGAAGTAGAGATTAAAAGTAACCAAAGAGCCACAGAACTTGAGGAAAAAATGAAAGACGCGAAAGGCTATAGGGAAAAGCAGTTGAAAGAAGCAGAACAGGAACTGAAAAAAATGAAACAAAAATCGGAAAAAAGTAGAAAAGAATGGAAACAGAGAGAACAAGACTACGAAACTTTAAATTTGGAAATTTCTGAGTTGAAGAAGGGATTGGAAACTTCAAATGCTCAAATTGAAATTTGCGAGAAAGCTATTGTTGACTTAAAGGAACAATTACAGGACATATCTGGCAGTGCTGAAGAAATAAAGGTAATTAGTTGTACACAAAATTGGTATAGAGATACGAATATTAACACATCTTTTTTTGGTAATTGAAATTATTTAGTTTGCATATTATACCTGGTGGTCCTTATTTAATTTTCCTTATTTAAGTATTTCGTAAACCAGCAGATTTATTCTGGAGTCCTTTTATTTAACTTCCATTAAAATAGAAGAAGGTAGAGATGTAAAAATGCATATTGTAAAAGTAAAATATAACATGACAATTAGATATTAATAATAATGGCTACAGCAACTTGACGTCAGATAGAAAGTTATTTAGGATAAGATTTTGTTTTCACATTTAGCTAGTCGCCATGGATGTAGGCTCAGCTAAATGGGAAAAAGTTGGGTATTTTAGGAAGTAATTTATAAATAAATTTGAAATACTAGGACTTTTTTAGGCGAAACTTGTAAAAACTCAAGTGTGAGGTAATAGATGTCATCTTGTAATATGTAATAATTAGTCATATTTTATAGGAAGCTGTTAAGAATTTGCAAGCCGAAGTAAAAAGAACCAAAAGTATCATCACTGAAAACAACAGAGATATTCAAAAGAAAAATAAGGAAAAGGAAAATTTGTTGGCCAAAAATAATGATTTAGAACTGAAAATTAAAGAACACAGTCATGAAGTTAATAAGTTGGAAGAAAATTGCAAAAACGCTAAAAATAGGGTAAGCAAATGTTTATTTATATTATATATAGTCATAGAACAACTGAAGATTCTCTGATTTAAAATGAGTCGATTAAATGGGCTGTTTTGCTGTGGCAGAGTCAATTGAAGCTGAGACATAGTTTTGAGCAGATCGATATAGTAAATATCCACATAAATTAGTATTTGAGTAAAAGTATAAATACATTAATTAGTGAATATAAGTTGTAATTAAATTAAATAATGAACTGGTTTGAATAAATAAAAGTTACATTAGGTTATATGATTACAAAAATTAGGAATATCTTTACTTTAAAAGCTAGTATGTGGAATCATGGACATATTTGATCTAGACAGTGGCGGTTGGTGCATACTCGTAAGTGCTGTATAGCTGAAGAACTGCTAACAAGTATTAGAAATTAAAAAGAAACCGACTTCAAAATCGTGCAGATGCCATCACCACATCTTATCCAAATTTATATGGAACCATCCCTGAGGTACCCCCTTTCTAACAAAAAAGAATCATTGAAATCGGACACCGTGTTAAAGAATTATCGCTGAACATACATAAAAAAAAATATTACGACGAATTGAGAACCTCCTCCTTTTTTGAAGTCGGTTAAAAAATGCAAGTATCTCATCTACATCGAAACAGAAATTATTTTAGACGTATCCTAATGCGAGGGTGGGTCAATAAGTCCGTGACTTTTTGAATTTCCCGCCTCTTAATTGAAATGGCAACAATGCTCCCGTCAACAGTCATCTGTCTGTTGACTCTTGTCAGAAATTGAACAAGCTGCGGCATTTAGTTTGTTTTTGACAGCCGTTAATATCAGACTACCTCGTTGACTGAGAAGAAAATGGAAAAAAGTGAATTTCGTGTGCTCATAAAGCATTATTTTTTGCGGAAAAAATCCATTACGCAAACCAAGGCTAAGCTTGATAAATATTATGGGGACTCTGCACCATCCATTTCCATGGCAAAAAAGTGGTTTACTGAATTCCGATGTGGCCGTACAACCACGGAAGATGCCGAACGTTCTGGACGCCCAGTTGAGGTCTCCACATCGGAAACAATTGAAAAAATCCACGATATGGTTTTAGCCGATCGGCGATTAAAAGTGAGAGAGATTGTGGAAGCCATAGGCATCTCACATGGCTCAGTGGTTTCAATTTTGAATGATCATTTGTGTATGAGAAAGCTTTCCGCAAGATGGGTGCCGCGATTGCTCACAATCGACCACAAACGCAACCGTGTGACAATTTCGCAGAAATGTTTGGCGTTGTTCAGTCGCAATATGAACGAGTTTTTGCGCCGTTTCGTAACCGTGGACGAAACGTGGATCAACCACAACACACCGGAGACCAAACAGCAGTCAAAACAGTGGGTTTCTCGGGGTGAATCGGCGCCAAAGAAGGCAAAGGTGGGTTTGTCAGCCAATAAAGTCATGGCGACTGTTTTTTGGGATGCACGCGGTATTATCTACATTGACTGCCTTCAAAAAGGAAAAAACAATCAATGGTGAATATTACAGCAACTTCGATGAGGCATTGAAAAAAAGCGACCGCATTTGGCCAAGAAGAAAGTCCTTTTCCACCAGGATAATGCACGGGTGCACACATGTGCAGTTTCCATGGCAAAAATCCATGAATTGGGCTACGAATATGGCTACGAATTGCTCCCTAATCCGGCCTATTCACCCGACCTAGCCCCGTGTGACTATTTCTTGTTTCCGAACTTGAAGAAATGGCTCGGCGAAAAGAGATTTGCCTCCAATGACGAAGTCATCTCACAAACAAATACCTATTTTGAAGACCTCGACAAATCATATTTTTCGGAAGGGATAAAAAAACTGGAGAAACGTTGGGCTAAGTGTATAGAGCTCAAAGGAGACTACGTTGAAAAATAAAATAACTTTTTATCTAAAAACCTGTGTTTCATTTAAAAAGTCACGGACTTATTGACCCGCCCTCGTATCAGTCCATAGCTGAGAATAAGTCCAAAGCGGGCCAGTGGAAAACTTAACAAAAGCTAGCCAGGTCATATTCATTTCTTAGCTAGGTCGCTTCGGGACGATGTGTGCACCGCTTGAGCCACCTGCGCTCATCGCCTTGCCTCCCGTGGATCTATAAAAAGTAAGCAGCGTTTGAGCTGAATTTTTGCCAGATCGGTGAGCTTTGAATATAGTATGTCGCATATGTGAATCGATTTCGATATTGTAGATGTAGGTTATTAATTTATGTTAATTCGCCAGAGCGTGTTTCCATTATACATGAAAGGCATAGATGTAGTTTAAGAGTTTATAAACGAATAGAGATTTTTTAAATACATATATTCGCTCCGTGCGCGACAGCAGCGCCAATTCGTTTTGATACTAATGGGCTATTTCTGCGTATACTGACAAATACAATTTTTGATAGAATTCGTAATTAAAAAGTATATATATGTTAGTTTTAATAAAAGTATATGGATTTTTAAAACAAGTAAAACGTTAATTTATTATTATTATATATTTTTATCGCTTAAATTAAAGAAAATTATGTATAATCACTAAAAATCAATAATAAAATATAGACAGGCAACAGTATTTACTGGAAAGTGTATGAGAAGTTGCCTAAGTCTAATAAGTTGTCATTAAAGAATTAGCCTATTCTATCAAAATAAAAAAATACCATTTTATAATAGCGTGAAGTAAAATGTATAAAAAAAGGATCGTTATTTATATTTTCATTTTTGTTCGAAGGAAAACATAGAATGAATGATTAAAACTGGTTTCCCATCAGTAAGTCACAAAATTGCATTCCATTAACATATAAATAATCAAAGGCAGAAATCTTGAAATCTAGTCCTTGCTGAATGAACATTTAAGAATAAAGGGATATTAAAGAACATCGTAAAATGATAATTTATTGTTTATTTAAAACCTTTCAAGTTTCTGATGTCTACTATTTCCAGCATTACTGTTATTATTACAAAAATAAAGGTAATTTTTCTTTTTATTGTACACCTATCCATTTATTTCTTTGATTTAATTTCCACTTTGCTACTGAATTTTTTTATATAAGTTTCACTGTTTTTTTTGCTAGTATTTGTACAATTTTCAACACAGCAACTCCGGTTGCTTATTGTATTGTTTTTACCTACTTTTTTGATATGCCAAAATTACAAAATATCGCCCTAAAATGCACGAATTATCCGCAGCTAGCGCTAGTATCGCTTTTGCTTCCCTTTCCATGACTTCGCACGGAGCGAATAAGTTTCTGCTAAAATAAAGGACCGCAGAATAGAATTATATAAAAGTAGGGGGGCAGAATCTTGTAGACCACCCAATATTTAAAATTTATGACATTCAACAGAAGTCCATTTTGCATAACAAAAGTGTGGTGTCCTTTTAAAATAAATTGAAATCACTTTATAAGTTCCCACAAAAATACATTATTTACCTATAAAATATCAAATCTTCAGTTATTCTACATCCCATTCTTAATGCATAAAAGATCGGAAAAAATATCATGAATTTTAGGAACAAGAGCTTTCAAGAAAATTTAAAGGTAATAATCCTAATTCACAAAAGGCAGAAGAAATGTCGCATAAAGATGGTCTAGAATTAGAAAGTAGGATTAAGAATTATCAAGAAAAGAAGCATAAACTCAGTAGGACGGTAAACGCAAAAGCACAAAGTATGTTTGAGCAAGAAGAAAAACAGGTAAACTACAAAAATATTTAGTAATATTATTCTTTAAAATTTGCACATTATAGATTTATTAGACCAATTTATTATGAATTTATCGTGATTTAACATTGCTGTATTGGAAACTGTACAGTTGCTTATTTAAGGAATTGGAAAAACTACAATATCAAATCCATAATATAATTAAAGAAAAGTGAAGTGAGAAAAATCGGCTGAGATCCAAAAAATTGAAATACAATTTTGAAAAAATCCCCAATTCTCCTTACTAAATTATGAAAATTAGACTGTCGTATCCCCAAATTGCATTTTAAATTTTCGGATCTCAACCGATTTTTCTCACTTTTCATTTATTATATTTTCACGTTTACGGCCGATCGTATTAGAAAACTTAACACTGGTGAATAAATGAAAGATCTTGGAAATGTGTTCTATAATCATATAGATTATCCTCTTTCTACACGATGTTAAAATAGTGGGATTTAAGAAGAATAATTGAAAGAGGTGGAATTGGGATTAGAATTTGTATACGCCGACGCGGAGTCAGCAACTGATTGATTTCAAGTTTACAAATTCGAATATCGAAACAATGTGTAACGATAGTAACTGATAAGAGCAGCTAATTCAATTAATTTTTCTTTGGTTTGTTTACACTTTGGGGATAAGAGACTGCAATTTTTATAATTTCGTAGAGGGAATTGATAATTTTTCATTTTCATATTTATAAAATTGAAATCCATAATAATCTATTACCGTTTACGAATTATATATGGAAAACCAAAAAAGGAATTATTAACCTTTTCAAATAATGGAGATTGTCTATATATTGCCAGTAAACGATAACAGCGGATACACAGTATATTTAAAAATGCTAAAGAAAATGACTTATAATGTTTCTTCTTTCACAATTAAATATCAGTATTATTAATATATCTATTTATACTCACATAGACACTGCCGACGTGCTGATTTTAAAAACACCCAAGCTGACAGTTGTCAAACTGTATCTGATGTATTTTATTGCTACTAATTTTATATAGAATCTTTTTGATTTGAAAGACCATTTATTACCTACCTACTATACCTCTTAATTTCCAAAGAATAAAAAATTTTTTTTGACTTATTACTGATGTTTCTTCCAAGGACACAGGATGACTTGAGTGGATAAACAAAGAGTTTCAGCCCAATGAGGGGGTAGCAATGAGACTTCTGGTCCATGCAGTCTAGGCTATGCAATATCAATGAGAGTTCTCACCCAAGTAACATTTTAAAGTAATACAGATTTATTTATGTTTTATTACGATTCTGTAAAAGCATAAAAATTAACAATTATTTTATTACAGCTAATAGAACTGCAGGATAAATTGATCTTATTACTTGGTTTTATAGATTCCTTTAAATCTGTTTAAGAAAAAAAAAAAAAAAGAAAACCTAAAATAAACTATGCTTTATCACTATCCTGTAAGGGTTAATAAGTAATTTTAGAACTATTTAGTTTTAAGATACTCCTAAGGTGTGTTTGGTGTTAAAGAGGCATACTTTTTAGCAGTTATCTTAAGTAGGTTTTAAAACTTAGTTTTAAAAAGTGTTTTAGGATTATAACTTTAAATTAAATTGATCCCAGAACCTTTTAGGTACAATTTATACAATTTTACAACATAACTAGTAAACCATAGGGCTCTTTTAAAACTACATAGTTTTAATAAGAACTAAAGTTTGTTTTAGAGAATAACCTAGCTTTTCAACCCAATCACATTATGTTGACGTTGAAAGATATATTGTTCAAAATAAAGAAAAGTGGTAATTTCCATAGAGAATGAAAAAAAAGTGTATGTTTCTCCTTCTCCTCAGTGTTTCATAAGTTCATTGTGTTCCATTGTTTAACAAATATCAAAACATTCCTAGGCTCCTAATAGTCTGGAAATGATCAGTGAAAGAGAATAATGGTTAATATATTATTACTAATTTTTTATATTTTGAATGACTTGTTCGTAGAGTAAATAAGAAGCTCAATAGTGAGGTTAGGTTATGCCCGTCTGATTGAACTTATGAATGTTTTATTGAGGTTTTCATTTTTACTATTTTTTTATGAAACGCTTTAAAAGTGTAGCAGGAGCTTTTTAAAACTGGAAAGTCCTAATAGAAAACAATGAGGAAATCCTCCATTTTAAATATGGCAGTGGCTGTTTAACCACATATCATGTAAAATAGTACCTGTCTACCAGAACTGTATCTAAAGGATATTCAAATAAATTATGGTCAAAGTCAAATAATTCTAAAATCTTTCGATTTTAGTAGAGACGTATTTTGTCTACCAAAGACAAAAATGATAATTTATTGTTTATTTAAAATCTTTCAAGTTTCTGATGTCTACTATTTCCAGCATTACTGTTATTATTACAAAAATAAAGGTAATTTTTCTTCTTATTGTACACCTATCCATTTATTTCTTTGATTTAATTTCCACTTTGCTACTGAAATTTTTTATATAAGTTTCACTGTTTTTTTGCTAGTATTTGTACAATTTTCAACACAGCAACTCCGGTTGCTTATTGGGTAAAGTTGTAGGAAATGTATGTACTTAACGCGCATCCTGGCCGCGCATATGTAAACATCCTCCAATCTACTGAAAGGAAGAAAACTTTCAGCCAAAGGTATTTATTTATTTGTTATTTTACTTAGATATTATTTATTAATAATATAAAAGTAGCAATCTGACAATGTTTTACAGTTATAGTGTCGTAAAACCAATTATTTTATATGTGCGGCCAGGATGCGCGTCAGTACATACCTTTCCTGCAACTTTACCGCTTATTGTATTGTTTTTACCTACTTTTTTGAAAAAAAGTAAAATGTATACGTCTATTTAATATGCCAAAATTACAAAATATCGCTCTAAAATGCACGAATTATCCGCAGCTAGCGCTAGTATCGCTTTTGCTTCCCTTTCCTTGACTTCGCACAAAGCGAATATGGCCTAGAAGTCTCAATACGCCCAAGGAACCGAGAAGTCTCATTGCTACCCCCTCATTGGCCTGAAACTCGTTGTTTATATAACATGCAGATTATAAAATCGCCATGCATTACCGTCTTGATGATGGTGGGTGAGGTTTTCCGGGTTTTCCTCACCTGTAAGTCAAATGACACCATCAATCATCTCTAAGTCGCCCCGGAGCGCCACGGCAAATAATAATAATAATTTCCGTCCCTTTCCCCGCACAAGCTCAGCTTTTGGGGTTAAAATTCACTCGTAAGGGGGTGAATTAGGGAGAGTATTATTATTATTATTATATAATTATCTACTGATTTCTTTAAATTTGAATTTGCAGTTTTTAACAAATAATATTTTGCATTATGATCAGTGTCGTAAATAAAGGTAAAAATGTTCCAAATTCCACTAAACTTTATCCTTTTGATTTTAACTGTCAGGATATTTTCAAAACTATATTTATTAAATTATTAATATCTTGTTTAATGAATATGCAAAAAATACTAGCCCCACTTCGAGAACTCACTGAAATATAAATTAAAAATCATCCTATTGTAGTTAATTCACTGGTATTTCACGACATCTTTGCGATATTGACTTAGTTACAGTACAGTTACTTGCGAAATTAAAACCCGATACGAGAACAGGAAAATGCATCCCAAAATAGATAAATAAAATATTTAGCGCTTCGTCGCTGTTAGTGAGTTATTAAAGTAGTACGATCCAAGCGATTTTTTAACCAGCTACACAAAGAGTCACCCCTTCAACTGATAAAAATTATCGGTAAACGCGTTTCTCCGATCCGAATTAAAATCGCTGGTACTGGTTAACAATAAAACTCACAGGTAGTACCGATTGATTTTAAAATCACCGGTGAAAAGTAACCGGTTTTAATATATCTGATGCACTTTAGCTTATGTAATTTTTGATAATTTAAATATTTTAGAAGAGAATATTGACTGATATTCTAGATTACAGCATTCTTCTAGTTTGCTGAAGTAATCTGACATTTTGTTCCAGATTAGCAACCTACTCATTAATAATAATATTTCAACATGTTTTTATAGTGTTTGGATTTTTTAATTTTTTTTTTATCTCGAAAATAATATGTGCACTAAATATTTTCTAAAAACAGGTATCATTGTCATTGCTAACTCAAAAATCACAAAAAACATTTTTAAATTTATTTATTATTTTTAGCAAAGCTTTCTCTGAATTTATGCTTTTTTTATAGTTTTTTCTTTATGAATTAAATAGCTTCTGGAGCAATGCCAGTGGAACAAAATTAATTTTCTGATCCAATATCTGACTCAAAAGTTATTGCATAATATAACTTTGTTAGACATGTTTGATCTAGAAAGATTAAGATATTCATTAATAGTTTTGCCAATATGCGCAAAGTATTATAATTTTTCTAATTTTGGATGATGACTTGTTTGAAAGGATAAATCCGTTCATGACTCGTTTTTTCACTACACTCGGTAGTAGGTACAAAGGTCCTAAAAAGATTTATAAAATATTTATAACATAATCTACTTAAACCTTTTTCAATATTTAGAAATGGAATATAATCTGTTTTATTTTGTATAAAATTATTTTTACTAAATTAATCTTAGCAAAGCGCTTTTGGCATTCGCCATACTCATTTCTAATTTTCAGAAAATACAAGAAACTCTTTGAGGTAGTTTATATAATCATAAAATATTTTCTCCAGGGAGTAGTAAGATTTATTTTACTTTTCAATGAGGATACAATAGCATTAATTTTTTTTATTTAATCACTAAGTTTAAAACATATGAATAATTTGTATTAGGTATTAAAGATTATAATTTCATAATAATAATAATAAAAAACGTCTTTATTTTAATAAGCCTCGGCGGAGTCCAACATAGCTGTTCCACTCAACCAAGTACCAATTACAAACATTTCATGTAAAACAAATATACATTGTTATTTAGATTTAAATTATTTAATATACATTTTATATAGACACATGCAATAAGAAAATTAACAATACATAAACACAAACTTTAAAACAAAAGAAATTTTTTCAGTAATTTTTTAAAGATTTGTATAGTTTTATTTTTACATTGATCAGGTAGAGAGTTATATATGGTAAATGCATTGTATGAGAAAGATCTCTTGTAGAGAATTGTTCTAGGTTTAGGTACCACAAGAATGCTAGTATTTCGGTTATGAACATTCGAGCTAAATGTCAATTTTTTCTTAAGGTATGCTGGATTATTATTTCTCAGCAGTTTGTGTACAAAGGAAGCCATATAAAGTTTTCGTCTATTAAACATATTAAGCCACCCCAATTCTTTCAATTTGTTTGAAACATGATCTCTAGATTTTATGTAAAAATATACTTGAAGACGGACCAAGTTGAGAATTAAGTATTACAAATATTTTGGCACACTACATATTTCATTGCCATCCTAAATGTCCTTATTAAACAGTTCACTGTTATATTTCTCGAGAATGAATGAAAAAAAAAACAAAAAAGCACAATTAAACTTAAGCTGTCACTTGACGCCGTCAACGAAATGTTTTAGGTTGCCAAACTTAAAGAATATGAACCAGAATGTTCAATATCCACATTCGATACACGTGTTAAAAACGATAAATAAAAATCTTAGGTAATTGTAATGAATAAAAAACTCATATTGATGTTTCCAATCCTTTCTCTTTTTTTAATAGATTATAATTAAAGGAATAGTAAATATTTTGATACAAATTTAATGCAGGATATTTGAAGGAAGATATCTGGCAACATAGGAAGAGCGTACGGTAAGGATGATGTTGCTGACAAATTTAATGTATCTGTTCTATCCGATATCTTGGCTTCAAATAAATCCTTATCTATATTTCATTTGTTTATCTGAGCTTTACCTAAATAACTAAAAAATTACTGACAATGAGTTTGACAGAATTGTCAATAATGTAATATTTAAAAAAAGGACTAAACATTTACTGTGATTAGTGGATTTTATATACATTCTAGAACTGATATCAAATATATCCGTTCAGTATACTAACATGACTCCTACATATTGATATAGTGTAGAAAATAGATCAATATACCGGGTGTCCAAATAAGAAAGAAGACGGCTATAGAATACAGCATTTATCTCAGAAACTATTCAACGTAGAATTTGGAGAAAAAACTTTTAAATGTAAAAGTGGTCAAGAGTAATCGTTGGAAAGTTTCTGTCTTCGATATTAGATGGCGTAATGCTTATGACCATTGATATAACAAGTAGATAGTAAAAATTTATTAAAATTTTGCATAGATTACGGTTTTTATATTTTTAACATAACTTAATTTGGCATTTTCAAATATAAGTGTGTCTATTATTAATCCAACATCAAATAGATCAGTTTTTTCAAAACTAACCAAGGTATTGTTTTTAATGCATTTTTTATTACTCTTATTGTTAATCCAAAATCAAATAAATCAGTTCTTTTTAAGGCTAACTAGAAAATTGTGTATTGATTTTCGCTTTTTTTTATATTAAAATGGAAAAGCTTAAAAAAAATAAACAAATGGATTAAGGATTAAGATAATTTATTTTGGCAGATAAACAAACTGTAATAAACTTGAAACAATTAAAAGAGTTGAACCAACTTTGGAAATTGTTGTGTTATATCCAAAACTTCTAGTTATGATTGTAAGATGTTCTTAATTCGAAAGTTTGATCTATTTGGGATTAGAAGTATGGCCAGATAATATAATCAAATTTTCTTAAGTTACAAGTATTTTGTTGACACTCGCAGCGATCTATACCAAAGCACGAACTAAAGTGATAAAAAGTTAAAATAATCTACAATGAATAAAAAAAATAATAGGCACAATTTAGTTATGTCATCTTTATTCGTTGGTTATATAAAACGTTGTACTTCAATGTATTAATAACAAAGTTTTAAAACGTTTTGTTTCAATTGATACAAAAATCAGATTTAAATTTAGTGCCTAAACGGATAGACTAACTTTTTTAGTATTTTTTTCACTGTGGAATTCCGACTTTTCAATTCAATCCTAGTTTAAAAATGAAGTATAGTAATAAAAAAACCGTCGTTTTTAAAGTCGGCATCATTTTAATCAAAAAGTTCCAATAACGTATTTAAATATTTTTTTTTAATTAAAATAAGTTGCAACAAAAAATAAATAATAAGTTTATAGCGGTATTAAATAGCGAAAAAAAAAACACCTGGTATATAACTTAATATAAAACGATTTTTTTTTTAGTACAATGAATGCCGTAAAAAAGAAAAAATCGTCGAACAAGATAAGAAAAAAATTATAGACACAATCGTAGATATGGACAAGCAAAAAGAAAACTCGTTGAAATTAGCGTATCAACAAGTTTCTAAAGATTTTGGATCAATTTTCGGCACTCTCTTACCTGGCGCGAATGCCAAACTGTTAGCTCCGCCTGGAAAAACAATTTTACAAGGATTGGAGGTAAGGAAAAATATTGATTAATCAATTAGGATTCTGTTGTTTGTCAAGTAACTCGATTTCTATACGATTCAAAATTCGATCAAATTATGAGAAGAAATTTATTTATTTCAATAATTCATTACAGAAAATAAATTCCAAGTAGTATATGTAAAAAGGTAAAATTGTATAAAACATTCATGAACTAGACATACAATATTTCACTAAAAACACAAGTAATAGTTACAATAAATAAATATGTTAGACACCACCGAACTTTAGTGTTCTTTTTAGAGTAAGAACGTTAATATTAAAAATATCACAATCAGAAAAGAATTTATTATAATTTTGACAAAGTTGATCAATAAAATCGTTCTGTCCATAGTTGGTTAGATGTGTTCATACTTGAAATAGGGACGTGTATCGTGTTCGTCTGGTAGGCACCAGAAAGTTGATTTGATTTAACAGGAATCGCAACACATCGTCTGATTCACCAGCTTAAAAAGGTTTAGAAGAAGTGATTGTTTCCTTCTATCTTCTAGGCTATGTAGACCGCAAAGCATTATTCTCGTTTCATAGCAGATATCTTGATATGGAAACCGAAATTTGAATAGAAGATATTTAATGAACTTTTCTATCCTATTTATGTGAAACATGTTCTTGGTAGCCAGATTATAGAACAGTATTCTAGAATGCTTCTGATTAAACAGTTGTATAGGGATGTAGTAGCCTTGGTGTCGTTTATGTAATGTTAGTGACGTTTAATAAAACCAAACATTCTAAAAGCTTTGCACACGATAGAATCGATGTGCAGGTTAAAGGAAAAATTTGTGTCAAAGATGATGCCAAGATCGTTTACTGAAGAAGAATTTTTTTAATGTCACATTATCGACCTTGTAAGAGTTCAGAATAGGGTTGGGAGATCTTGTGAAGTGAATTGTAGCAAATTTATTGACATTCAAGGACAAATGGTTTAGTATGCACCACATAGTAAAGCGACCGAAATCCGATTGTAAGGCTAAGTTGTCACTAGTCTTTATGCTAAAAAAGTCACCGTTTTGAAAACGTCATTCAGAACCAATAAAAATAGGACAGGACCAATATGAGATCCTTGTGGAACACCTGATGTCACTGATACTTCACTAGAGGCAGAGTTTTGTATAGTAACACGCTGAGAGCGATGACTTAGTTAAGAGTTATTATTATTATTATTTATTATTATTATACATTGATAAAGGCTGAGGACACAAGTCCTATGATAGCCTAAAAACAAAATAGAAAAATTCTAACAAAGTAAACACATTGAAACAATAAGATAAGAACACTAAAAATCAAATAAAAAGGTTAATTAAACAAACACTCGTCTAACTTATTTTTAAAGACGTTAACTGTTATGGCACCACAACTTCGTCGCTGAGGTCGTTCCATACATTAAATACCAGGTTGGAAAGAAATGATTGTCTGTGCTTCGTTTTTAGGTTTTCCTTTTTTAATTTTAGTTTATGATTACGTAGACGAGAGTCACTAAGATTTCCGTAATTATATTTAAGTATTCTAAAAGTGAGAATCAGGTCCCCTCGTAGTCGACGATTCGCAAAAGTTGGTAAATTTGACAATTGTAGTCTTTCTGCATATGATGGTCGGACTGCTCCAAAGGTCATTCTGGTAGCCCGGCGTTGAACATTTTCTAAAAGGTTCTGGTCTCGCACAAGAAGCGGACACCAAACTACACCTGCATTAAATCAATTAAGGTAATTACCCGAAATACCAATGTCTGCTAGTTTTTTAAGAAGTAGTTCAAGGCAAATACTGTCAAAAGCTTTATAGCTATATATTCGTCAACCTGATGACCAGCTTCGAAAGATGAGAGTAAGTACTCTTGATACACGGCAAGATTTGTTGCAGTTGAGCGTCCTTGATAGAATCCATGTTGACATTAAGACAAAATGTAATTTTTGTATGTGGCAAATACCTCGTCCGTCAGGATGAATCGAATAATTTAGGTATCGTAAAGATTATAGAAATGCCTCGATAAATATCTCCCTTCTTGTACATTGGCACCAAGTTAGAGAATTTCCAAACAGTAGGAAATATTCGACTAACGAATTATTTTTGAAAAATCAAAAGGCAAATAGATGAGTCGCAGCAGCCCTTTAATACGGATGGTGGTCCATGAACTGCATTTTTTGCTGAATCCATACGTTTAATTTTGGATGACACTTCTTCTACTGTAAATGTATGAAGAGATAGAGTCGATGAAAATGACACTGATGGAACTGAAGTAAAATCGGTATTGTCTTTTTTGTGTAATACGTTTGAAAATGATTTGCGAAAGTATTGGCTATATCTGAGGGGTTATACTTAGTTCAAGATTGTTGTATTTCATCAGATTAGGTAGGCTATAGTCTCTGAAAGTTTTTAATGAATGACCAAAAGTACTTTACATTCTCTTGGATCAGTTATTCAGAGTTTGTTATAAATGTTAAATAACAGATCTGTTCTGTATTTGACTTCAGGTCGTCTATAACTCGATCTGTTTTGATTACGATAAACATCGGAAATTTGATAACTTAAGTAAATATTCGAACTAGTATTAAAATATTCTAAAGGAGTATAGAAATAACTTTAAAAAAGCAAAGTGAAAAAGTTAGGGATGCTAATTTATATTTTCATTTAGTAGGAGATTTACACAATTACCATCTCGCAATAATAATGCATTTATGGTTTTAAAGTTACTGTATTTCTTGTGACTATAATCACTCAAGTTCGCTCATTTTTTTTTATTTTAAGACGGTGGAATTTTTTCAATTTAATAATTTGCTTTTGTTATTAATGGTAGATATATGTTGTTGTGTTCTTTCGACCTCCCAACACGTTTGTAAAAAATTGGGATTGAGTTTGGTAGAACTCTGTACATTAACTATAGACTAAACTGCATAAAAATTACTACAATTTAAAAAAAAAATCACAAATTTAAAAACAACCCTCATAATTCATAATGCAACTAAAGTGATGCTTGGAAACAATAACAAAGCCTAATTTAGGTAAAACACTTTCAGTGTTTTGGAAAGGTATATTATATATTATATAAACACTGAGCCTATTTTACCTAAATCTGTACTGAGATCTATATTCTGTCATTGTGTACCCCCAATATGATGGTCACCCGCCGCCACTGGTCGTGGGTTTGATTCTCACCAGGAGCGAATTGTTAAAATTGTTGTTTTCTCCAAAAAGGTGATACAAATTTAAGTTAGTCATTCTTTCCTAGTTATCTATGTTCTCAGTGGGTTTCTTTACTTCATACTTCATGTCTTAACATAAGTTAACACTGCACATACCACTGACTTGTAAATTCTTATTTTTGTATTTGTATTATATTATTTTATTAGTTTTGTTAATGGATTGTTTCAGGTAAAAGTGTCACTGGATGGTGTTTGGAAGGAAAGTCTAACTGAACTTAGCGGTGGACAGAGATCGCTGGCAGCATTGTCTCTAATTCTCGCGATGTTGTTATTTAAACCTGCTCCTCTTTATATTTTAGACGAAGTGGATGCCGCATTGGATTTATCTCACACCCAAAATATAGGACATATGTTGAAATCGCATTTCAAGAAGAGTCAAGTAAGTAATCACTCCTTTAATAGTATGTTAACATAACGTATAAACAAAAGAGAAATACGATTAAAAGTATCGATAAAAACAGTATAAGGCTAATTTAAAAAATAAAAAGTAAGATAAAAGAAACTTAACAGATTCTCAAGAAAAGCGAACAAATTTTACTTGATTTGAATTACTTCAATTATAATAAATCGCTTTTTAAAATCAATTCGGTGGTATTTCTATAATAAATAACTTGCACAAAATTGCTATTTTCCTTATTTCTAAAGATTCTTTGGACTTGAAAGTTGTGCTTTCGATTTACAAATTCAGAACATAGAAATGTAAATAAAAACATTAGATGAGACACAACAATGGTGTGAAAATATCTAAAATGGTATTTAAACAGATGAATGAGAATTCCATAAACCGAGTACGTTCATTTCCTCGGGAAAGTCAGTTGAAATCGAAGATCAATGCAAAACTAATTTCCGGGGCAGCTTCGCGGCTCTCTGACTCACAGAACGGCTTAGGCTTGTGAATACCTGAGGAGAGCAATTCTCTGTGTGAGGTTCATCGTCGAACGTAATTAAATCTGTGATTTCATCATCTAAGTATGACTTTTCACGGTAAAAGGGATGGTCTCTTAGATCAGGAAAATTACTAGATAGATTAGAAAATGACACGTCTGAATCTGAATCAGGGCGTGCCGGAACAAGAATATTATTGACATTTTTAAGTGAAATTGTAGTATTACACATTACGTTATTACTTTTACTTTCAGAAAAAATAATTAATTCCATATTTAAAAAAATATAGGATCAGTGATCAGTTAAGGTAGGGACTCCTCGTAGGCCTGACCATTCTTCAAAATTCAATTTCTGAAAAAAGTGTCGTTCACTGATACTGATGATTTGGACTAGTACATACGCTGATTTTTTAATTAGTATCTTTAACATTTTGGAACAATTTAAATTTTTATTTATATTTTTTTTGTTGTAGTTCATTATCGTGTCTCTGAAGGATGGAATGTTCAATAACGCCAACGTCCTATTTCGCACAAAGTTTGTGGATGGTGTTTCCATGATAACAAGGACAGTAAATAAGAATAAGTAGAATTAACCGATCTTAATAATCGAAATATTTTTATCATATTTTTTTTAAGGTAGTTTTAATTCTTATTAGGTTTAAAATAATATTAAATTTCTAATTTTAAAACTTAACTTTTTTACTTTCCCATTTCCTTCCTAAGAAAAAATTCGTTTGTTCAACTTGCAAAAAAGATTACATTTATTGATTTCTAAGGATTTAAAAAAATATAGGTGTAATTATTTTTTTTCTATGGTAGAAAATTTTACAACGACGACGTAATAATAAGGATTTTGATTTATTGAAAAGTTACTATCAAGCTCGTAATCCATCTTAAATGAGGCATTAAATTATCAGATCTCGGTATAACTGAGTAATTGTTTGACAGTTCAAACAATATGAAGATGTCTCTATGATTACGAAAGTCAAATGTCTGTCCGAATTTTTTACATGAAATTTACTGTAGTAGTTAAAACTAAATAGAACAAATTTTTGCTTATTGGTATTATTGTTTGTACAGTTGGACAAACAAATTTGTTTGTATTTCATAGTGAAATCGGTGTTTTTTACGACTTATTTTTGGGTTTGACCAACGGTCTCTGCGCTCCCAAGCGCCGCGTCGTACACTGGGGCAACAAGCCATCAAAGTTTGCAATAAATCATAGATTTTCTTTATGAATTTCTAAGTTAAATGTTGCTTTGTAGAGGTGTAGTACAAAAGAAAATACATAGATGGCTTATAAAGTGTTTATTTGCTTAAAAAAAAATAGAAAGTTGTTAAGAATATAATATAATAAAAATGTAATATAATAATTTCATTTAGAAAAGCTATGATAATTGTAATCAAATTTCATCCTCTTCAGAATGTAATAAGACATTTTCTTCATCGTCTCCATTGTCATCATCGGGGTTATCAATTAAACCATGGCTATGGAGCTGCGCGAGTCTAGATTTTAACAAATCTACTACTTCTTTAGGAAAGGGCTGCAGTTTCTTTTTTTAACTTTTGCTTGCTCGTGATTACAGGGTCGGAACTAAATAAAAACGAATTAAAGACGTCCTCATTAGTTTTCTCTCGGCTACATTTCCTCGAGTAATGTTCTCGATAATTTTTGAAATGCTTGTTCTGGGCTTCTTGCGCTTCCTCTTTTAATTGGACTATATATAGGCAACAAAGCAGATGATATTATTTCAGGCCCATGTATAAAGTATTTGTGTAATGTCTGAGGCATATTGAACCAGGGGTACTTTTCAACGAAGTATCTAGCGGTGTTGTGAGCAAATTCTATGAATTTCATTCTTTCCAGAACTTCTCATGATATCAAGAAGTTCCTTCCTTGATATAAACATAGTGTTCGATCTCGTTCCTGAAATAAATTAAATTGTTATGTCCGAAACACTGTTATGTTTTATTTATACCTAACTCTAAATCAACTCATATTTCTTCAATTTCAAATTCCAAGATGGCTAACATCTTGGAATTTGAAATTTCCGCCATTTTAATTCGATGGTCGGAAAGCATAGTTACATACCTACCAAATATCGGTAAAAAAAATAAAATAGCAGCATTGAAAAGCATAATGATGTGTTATTATAAGCATCTAAGAAAACATAAAAACCAGACAACTTTGTCGAATGGACCAATCGTGCTCGGAGAGGTCTTAAAATAAAGAAAATATGTTAGATTTTCAACTTTCAAATGAGCCACCACTTTGTTATCTCTATCTGGGAGCATATTTGGTAAAATGGTTTATTAATAAACGAAATATAATGAAAGAACAGAATTATTTTTTTTTACGATCGTACCGCTACATATTTATATATGTACTTTGAAAAAAAAACCAAATAGGGAAGAAAAGTGAAAACAAATGCACAAAAACTAAACGACTTCGAAAAGTTCAAACAATATTCATTATGAAAAGTCAAAATTTAAAGCTTGGACTGCTTTGGAACACAACAAATAGCCTTCACGTATTTAATAATATTTTAAAATTTTAACGTTTAACCTTCATTTTACTTAACTCCACTTTTATAAGATTTCGTTTATTTTTCTAAAACTTTTTACTTGTTAAAATAATAATAAATACCTAAACTTGAAGGTTCCATGGGGGAAATTTAAAAAAAATCAAAATACAGCACAAAAACAAGTTAAAAACTAAGAAATAACAATGCAGGTAAGTAACTTCATTACTAAAATATCACTCTGTTAATATGATTTAATTTACTCGCGATCATGTTCAAGGTTTATTATTATTCAATAATTATTGATAAAAAAGGTAAACTGGGATACACGCGGGGATTCTCTCCTGCTGGTAGAGGATTCTCCGCATAGAGAATTGGGGTCTTGAAGGCTGAGCCCCTTTTTTATTTTGATTTGCGGTTTTGAAAGGTTAATCAAGTGTTGTGAGATATTGGAGTTGGTAAGTTCTTGTTTATAGTTTTTATTGTATTGAGCCCATATTTGTGTATGTCGGGTTGTGACCTATTTTGTATAATATTGTGGATTAAGGGTGAGATTACAGAATGTCTGCAACTTTGCAGATCTGCAAATATGGCGGACTTACAAATGCAAGTATTCCAAAAAATATCTGCAAATTCGCAATATTTATTGTGGTTTATAACCCCCAACAACACTAAACCCAAATTTGGAATACGAAAACTTGATACTTGCATGTGTAAGTCAGTCAAATTTGCAGATTTTCAAAGTTGCCGCCATATTTGCAGATCTGCAAAGTTGCAGACGTTCTGTAATCTCACCATAAATATATTTGTTTTGAGAAAAAAAAAGTGTTTTATTCAGTCTTTCTGTATACTATGTTCCTTCATTAAGAGTAGAACCCCATTATATGGTTAAGGGATATGAATCCAAGTTCAAAATATCTAGTGCTTACACAATTTAGACCGGTATTAATATAACAATGGTCTAATTCTAACACCCCGTAACTGCATGGATCGGTATTTTAAAGGAGAAGCTGTTTTTAGTTTATAAGTGCGTAATATGCTTGCAATATACGGGTTATTAGAATGGTCAAACTTCTCGCGCCAATATTTTTCCAAGTCAATACGGTGTATTTCTGCTTATTACAAACGTACAACCGAATGGCGCGAAAACGTAAAATTTGAATTTTTTTGTACATACGGAGGGCTTTAGAATTAAACCATCGTTATTTATCTTTCAATCCCCTGAGATATAGCTAGTCCAATTTGGGTTATTAAATCTCATTAATACATCACATATATATTTGTGACAGATTCCGTGGCTGTTGACATAGGCACCTGATAAATTCAGAGCATGTGAGTCGTCTACTTGCAAAACGCTACATCCAAAAATTTTCAAAACTAATTTTATTGTGCCATTCAACTGAAATCTGCACTCAAATATGGGGATGCATTGCAAAACTGGCTACATCCAACAAAGTCTGTAACAAAAGCGGCCCTATCCAAATTATTGAATCGAGCAACAATGAAATGTTCTCAGACTATGGCTCGAAGAAGATATTTGTAGTAATTTTAAATACCAGAACCAAATTCGTTTAACTTAAAATTTGTTTAAAATCTTTTGTCTTCCCAAATGTTGTTCTCAATTTTTCCAGATATTCAAGTTTTTGTAACTTTATTTTATAATACAAAATATATGTAGGTATTATAACCACATTTTTTGTATTTTATTTATAAAATGAAAATTGACGAAAAAACAATTTTTATATTTGCAATGTGTCTTGATCCAAATTTCAAATCTCTATACCATATGTGGGCAACCCCCGGCCCCCGGGCCGGAACCGGCCCTCCACCAGCTTCAATCCGGCCCGCGAGAAGCTGTCAGTAAAAAAGAACGAACTTAAAAAAAACAGTTATTCTAAGACCATAAAAACATTAAAAGAACAAACACATAAACAAAACGTTTCTGAATTCGGAACATAGAACATTTAAAGCAAAAACTAAATTCTAATTTGAAATTTCTTCCATTCCATCAGAATTCTCTTAACCCAACAAGTGAACCAAAATTTTCTCCAACGTGAACGCACACAAAAATACCACTAAAAGAGCTTGCGATCTTGCAAATGCCAAACCAAACTGCTATTTTGCAAGTCTATGCGAGTTGAGACCTGAGCAAAGCATGCGCGAAACAAGCCGCCCGATGCGCTTGCGTACGATCGAGTGTATTCTAGTTACTTATTGGGGGTAATATATAAACCGCTTAGCGCGCATCGCCTCATTACTTCTTAACAACCGATAAACGTACGACGTGGGAAATATTCAAGCAAAAACATGTCTGGTTCAAAAAAGCGGAAAGTGGACACGGAATGTCGTCAATTCCAAGACAAATGGACTGATGAATACTTTTTTATCTTGCACAGTGGTAAACCTATGTGTTTGTTGTGCAATGAAACAATTTCTGTTTTAAAAGAATACAATATGAAGCGGCATTACTCCAGTAAGCATTTTGCTCAATATAATTCACTCATGGGCCAGTTAAGAAAGGATAAAATTAAAAAACTCATTACCGATTTAGGGAAACAGCAACAAATGTTCCATTCACAAAGATCAAATCTAGACAGTGTTGTTAAAGCTAGTTTTATAATTAGTTCCAAAATAGCGAAAACATCGAAGTCATTTTCTGAGGGACAGTTTGTTAAAGAGTGCCTAGTAGACGTTGCAGAACTTTTGTGTCCAGAAAAAAAGAGAGAGTTTGAGAAAGTGAGCTTATCGCGACGTACTGTTGTTCGACGTATAGATATGATGGCAAGTGATATCAAAAAAACATTGACTGATACATTAGCTAGTTTTCAAGCTTTTTCGATTGCTTTGGATGAGAGTACAGATTTATCTGACACTGCCCAGTTAGCTATTTTTATACGAGGTGTTGATGAAGAAGTTGCAGTGACAGAGGAATTACTGGCTTTGCGGCCGCTACAAGGGACCACTACTGGAAAAGATATTTTTGCCGAGGTGCAAAGTACTTTTGAGCAATTTGGTTTACAGTGGTGTAAATTAGTTGGAGTGTGCACGGATGGTGCGCCTTCAATGGTCGGTTCACGAAAAGGTTTTATCGGAATTCTGAAGGAAAGAGCAACAGCTATGAATGTGCAAGAATGTGATTTAATAATTCTGCATTGCATTATTCATCAACAAA